CGAAGACATTCAGTATTGTCGACCACTTTTATCACTTCGCACTTGAATTGGTGGTAGAGATATGGCTTCAGACAGTTCTGGACATTATCTAAATCCCAGTCTTCAGACAAAACAATATAAATCAGTTATGAGTGAAAGGCATGTGAAGTACAAACCGTGAGTTTTGGGCCGAATGTCCGCCAAATAGTACTTCTTCGCGAGACCTCCTTCTCGCAGGAGTTCTTCGTTTCTAATCAAATATTTGAATCGAATCCACTCTTCGGCACCGCCGAAGTCGATGGCAAAGACGAGCGCACGTTTGGACCCGTTGTCCACATGAGTGACCATAACTCGTGTGAAATGCAAGTCATCGCCCAATCTATGCAATCATACAATAAATCAATCATTCAATACATCATACGATGGGATCAATTACCGGGTGATGAACTCTTGGCCGACTTGTGGCACAACAGTTGGCATCAATTTGTGAGAAATGGCCGAAAAGACATCACTCAAGTGGTTGTGATACAAAGCCATCAGACGCTCCACACGTGTGGCCACATTGGCATCGGTTTGTGCCCACACTTCCACCGTATGGTTGGCCACCGATATAGCGGTGATGAAACACTTGATCACTTTGGGCTTCGCTACCATTGCAGCCATTGTTTCACTCAATTGTTTCACTCAATCACGGCTTCACTAACACTGCGATTACAAGAGGCATAAGATGTGACCCAAAGTTCACATGTAATGCAAGTAATGCTAACAAATGGCGCTTTTATTACACAAATTCATCGCTAAAACCCATTTTCATTGGTTCCCTACGTATACCTTAGGCTTCACTGTATTACTCATTCACTGCCGTCCACGACATGTATAGTGTGTTTTACAGATAAGCCCAACACTAACAGAAGGGGCTCTACAGTACAGTCGCTATCATATGATTGTATTTTATTTACAAAATTGTTTCACAAATTGAGTGAAACTTTGAGTGATTTTAAAATATTAGTTAATTTTATTATAAGTTATAGTCAGTTGATAATTGAGTCCAATCTCTATATAACTAGACATACAGTAAATGAAACAAATTGTGGTTAAAATTAATGTTTTGAATTGAAGGCAAAACAGAATTGCAATTAATCGGCGAAGATGTCAGTGGAAGCGCTGGTGATAGTGAACAGGGATAACGTGCCTCTACTCGTGAAGAGCCGTCGGCCGCAGTCGGACGCGACCACAATATCGGCTCTCTTTCATCTGCACTCATGTCTGGACATAATCTGCGAGAAGCAGACAAATCGGGATCCGTTTATCGGACTCTTGACGCAAAGCGAAAGCCATAAGATTTACGGCTTCTGTTCGACAACTAATACAAAGATCCTGTTTATGGTCAGCCCTCAGGCCATACGTGACAACGAGGCCAGACTTATACTCAAGACTGTCCACAACGCGTACGTCGACGTCACCGCTGGACACCCTTTCTATCACGACTCACAACAAATCAAATCCAAGTATTCAGTCATTCAATCAAATTGTTATGTTTTGTCACATTTAGGCCATTACTCTCAAAACCAATCATCAGCTCATTATCTCAAATCTTGTAAATTAGTGTAGTTTTAATGGTTTAAAATATATTATATTTGTTAGTAAATAAGACATTTGCAGCCAAACGACAGTAACTGTATTTATTTCATATAAACATGTATATTAATTAAAATATTTTAATCTGAAGTCTAGAAGTGAATTAAGTTTAGCTTAAAATTATAGACATATTTCTATTCATTTATTTATTATATTTTGCATCAAATTTAATGATTTTCTCTTTACTTTTCATTTAGACATTTGGATTCAGTAATCGACGGAATATTTGCTAATTATTGACACAATTTGTGTCTTAAATTAATTCATATTATTGTGTAAATTAGTTTTATAATTGAATTAATATTTATTGTAAATGTATTGTATTATAAAAATAAAATATACGCTAAATGACTATCGAAATAAAAGTTATTAAATTAAAGTAATCGCAAAGTGTTTGATAGTGTAGTAAAGGTTTGGGTGAATGAGTGGCGCAATAGTGAGGTCTCTATAGTATTGATGTGAGTAGTGGTGGATAGAGACCCACACATAGAGACAGGCGTACAGTCGATGCCATCAATCGTAACAATAATATCAGATCGAGAGGTGTGTCAAGCGTTTTGGTCCACAGCATATCACACCACAAACCCATCCATTCCTCCGATTACCACACTTATTATCATTGACATTGAGTTGGTATTTGATCGCTGAAGACATAACAATGACTGTGAATGAGTGGATGAGCGGAGACGCGGCCCAAAAGACCCACACATTGGCCGTCACTCGTGATTACATATCACAGCCGCGGCTCACATACAAGAC